CCCACCTCCCTCACTCCAGGCAGCCCTCGATGGCGCCAGAGCCGGGAAGAAAACAGGAAGTGGGAAACAGCCACGGCAGAGGAATCAGGGAACGGGATGGAGGCTTAGGATGCAGGGTCGCACGAGGACCGATCAGAAGGCACAGACTAACAGAACCTTCAGGCTCCCGCTCTATCCACCAGCCAGGAAGCCCACACACGGGCTCAGACCCAAGACAGGACTGGGGGAGTGGCCCAGCCGGTCCCACCAGGAGAAGGCCCTTAGCAGAAAGGGAAACGAGGCGGGGTTGTCTGGGCGCCTTAGCCCCTTCCTCGGGCGACGGGAGGCTCCTGCTACCCCCAGGGCCCAGCGGCCAAGAGAACTGTTTCTGCAGGAGAAATAAAGTGGGACGCACGTGACTGACCCTACCGCACTCCGCACCCCTGCCCCACCCCCAGCCCCCTCCTCCGTCCCAAGCTCCAGGCGCTGGAGCTGCCCCCCCAGCCCTTTAAGAGCCGCCTCCACCCGCCGAGCGGGGGGGCGGCGGGTAGGCCGGTCGGGGCACACACCCGCACACAGGAGCCCTAGTCGCGGCCGCCGCCGGGGAAGGAAACAAGTTTGAACAGCGGCGCCCGTCCCCCTTCCCCCTCCCCAGTCCCCGCCCCAGGCCGGATTCCGACAGGGTAGACGGGCAGGGGGAGGCTGCGACCCCTCCCCCTGGCCGCCTTCCCCCCCCAATCTCGCGCGCTTCGGCGCAAAGTCCAGCCAGCACAAGCCTAGGGGCGGCGGGGGAGGGGAGAGGAGGGGGGAAAGTCCGAGTGGGAGGGGGGTTAATCCCGCTGCCCCCCGCCGACGGGGGAGGGGAACCTTGGCCCCTTAAGGAAGAGCAAGTTGGCGGGGAAAAGGGGGGCGGAGAAAAAAGACAGGCTCCCAAAGAAGACGAGCTTGGTACGGGAGGGGGACGAAGGAGGGAGCCTCCTTGCTCCCCCCACCTCCCTCACCCTCCTCAACTCCGGGTCCCCCGAGGCGCGGGAGGAAGAGGATACCCAAGTCTCCCCTGGAACCACCTTAAAGCCGCGCGTTCTAAGGTCGGAAACAAAAAGTTCCTTTTTCGAACGTTCGGACTGCGCTTTGGAACTTTGCGACTCTGCGCGGGCGGGGGAGCGAGGAGCCGGTGGAGATAGGCGGGGGAGGGGCGGCGCAGTCTGGACCCCGAGTCCCAAGATCCCCACTTGCGCTCTCCTCCTAGAGGCCATCCGGTATCCCCCTCAACACAGTGTGGGGCACGCGCCGCCGTGAAGGTCACGGGCCGGACCGCGCAGTGAGGGAATGGGGATAGCGGGCCCTGTGAACAGCCTCCCTCACCCCTACACGGCACACGTCTCGGCCCCCTTAGTACAACGTGACAGAGTGGCGAGGAGAAACCCCGCCACCTCTGTGCTACCGAGACTGAGGAGGAGCCCAGCGTGCAAGGTCCGGGCAGTGAGAGAGACCAGGAACCGCAGCACCCATACCACTCTGCCAGAAATTGGGGGTTCTAGGCAACACCCTCCGCTCGCGCCACGAGAAGCAACAGGTCTCGCGTGCTGGGGGACCCCTGGAACTGGGGACCATTCAGGTTCCCCAGGGTCTCTTCTGCCCCCCCAAAGTTTCTCCGCCTGGTCTCCCGGGGCAACAAGTCTTCCCCCACACGTGCTGCCCCCGCCCCTACCTGTGTCCGCCGGGGTCTTCATGCTGGGGGGGCCCGGGGCGAGGCGCCCCGACTCCGGGCCACAGCTCCCGGCACCCGCACTGCCCCGTCCCGTCCCGCGCCCGTCGGGCCGCCCTCGCCGCCTCACCCGGCCTCGCCTCTCAGAGCCTCTCCCACAATGTTCCTATTCTTAAGTGCCATCAAGTCCAGCACAACTTGCATCCACTGTAGTGTAAGGGGTCTGTTGATTCAAAACCCGGCTTCTCTAGACCATTGTTCTCTGACCTTGCTGTCATTTTCTGGGACAAGCTGTTAATCTTATCCAGCTGCCCTTCAGCCAGGCGGCCTGCCTGTATTATCAACAGCTGCATGACTCACGTCTTCCTCATAAGGCATTCTAAGGTATCAACAAGGATACTGGCTAGTCTCACCAGTAAATTGAGCAGATTCTGTGGCTGAATTTGGGAATCTCAACACCCGGAAAGAAGTACAAGAAAGCAGCACACATCCTTCGGGACCAGAGGTTTCTATGCAGAGATATCTTGCTACTGACTGAGCAGCTGCCTGTATTAATTGAAGGACTACTCTCGATGTTGACTGAGAAGCCAGCTGAACTAATTCAGGGATGGTGTCTTTCTGTTAACCTGGGACTGCTGTGTACTGAATCTGGGCTTTCACTGAGTGATATCTTTTGCCTTCCCTCCCTCACCCCTCAAAACTCTTTCCCTAATAAACCTTATAACTAGGAGTAAAAAGTGGATCTGTAAAGTCTGTGTGGTCTTCGCAATGAATTTCAGTCCTAGTAATTAGTAAAAGTAGGTGCAGGAACACAGTGGGTCATGTTGGACCTTAACAGGATCAGTTTTATACTGTGGTGGTTGTTGATGGGGACAGTTCGCCTTTGTGGAGTTAGTAGAGGTCAGACTTGACCTTCCTCACACTGTCTTTGCTGCTTTTACAGCCACCCTATGGACGAACAACAGACTAGAACTTGCCCTATCCTGTGCCGTCATCACGATCCGTCACCTGTCAGTCGATCTCATGGCGGATTGTCCTCTCTTTCGCCGATGCCTCCCTCTACTTCTCCCGCATGGAGTCTCTCTCCAAGCACTGGTTCCTCCTGAAAACATACCCAGAGAACTGATATGAAGTTTCACCGTTCTTGTCTCTAAGGAGCACTCTGGTTGTACTTCTTTGAAGACAATATTTGTTGTTCTTTTGGCTGTCTATTGTATACTGAGTTCTGCTCACCAACACCAACAATTCAAAGGCATTGGTTCTTCTTCAATCATCCCTCTTCATTGTCCAACTTTCCGATGCATAGAAAGCAATTAAAAAGTCCAAGACTTGGATCAGGTACAGCTTAGACAGGCCTCTAAAGTAAACACCAGAGAGGCAGGGAGACAGAAATGTTTTCTTTAGAATAGCCAAACACAGGAGACCAAAAAGCCAACATTTCCCCCAATAAAAAGCTCAGAAGGCTGGAAGGGGCAGGAAAGAAGGATGAATGAAAACCAGGAACTCAGGGAAGAAGTGGGAAGGGTGCTGCTAAACTGAGGGAGCCCCAACTAATGCCATGAAATAAAATACATACAACCTGCTGGATATGAAAGCAAATCACAACAAAATGTTGCAAAGATGGGAAAGAAGTGAGAGTCTGGATAACGGCAGGCTCGCCCAGGTGGGAAACGTGGAAGTTTACAATCCTCCTTAGAGAACGGAAAGGCTTGCTGAGCTCTCATCAGGCCTCCTGGCTGGGGGAATTCACTGCTGGGGACCTGACAGACAAAAAAGAAAAGGCAGGGTGATTGTGGACCAGAACTTGTCCATGGGCTGTGTGGTCTCAAATGTGGGGCACATGTGGCTGAAAATCTCCGACTCGGGTGTAGGATTAGAGTTGATAGTTTTCAGCAGCCCTCAAAGGAGACTGAGAAGTGCTCCAAGCTGTTTCCCATCAGCATGGACACAAGCCACCGCATGACTTTTAGCCCACATCACAGCCCTGTCTTGGTCCCACTTCCTCTGTTAAAATACAAAATTCGGAATGACAAGGGAAACCCTTGCTGTCTTTTTAAATTCTACCAAACTCCCTACAATGCGTAACCCAATGCAATGAATGCAAGGTGAGGTTTTGTTTGTTTGTTTGTTTTTTAATTTTTGTGTGCGTGTACCATCAAATCAGATCTGACTGGTACAGGTGGAGATTGTCCCTGCTTCCCTGGCAGAGCATCTGGTGGATTCGAACCGTGATCAAGGTGAGTTTTTAAGGCCTCCTAGTTGGGCATGTTGTAAGGAGGGACCAGTCCTTGGAGAGGGACGTCACGCTTGGGAGAGTGGAGGGACAGCACAGGAAAGGAAAACCCTTGATGAGATGGATCGATTCAGTGATTTGGATAATGGGAGTAGGTGTGTTGGAGACAGTGAGGCTGGCACAGGATAGAACAGGGTTTAGGGCTCTTGTTCATAGGGTTGCTATCAGTCACAAGCGACTCGATGGCACACAACAACAACAACAACAGGAGCTCTCTGTCGGGGATGATAAGGATGGTACCGGATAGGCCAGAGTTCGGATCTAATGCTGAGGACGTCACCTAACAACAACAACAGGGAGTTCTGAGCTCAGGCTGCCTAGTGGTAAGAAGTTGCGCTACAATCTCAAAGGCATTGGTTTAATCCACCAGTTGCTCCACAGGAGGAAGGGGAATCTCCTCCCACGCAATTTCTTGCCTCTGAAAACTTGCTGGAGGGTCAGCTATGGGTTGGTTCCAACTTGACAACACACAACCACAGGGAGCTCTGGTGGCTTAGTCCAAAGTTAGCTGCACTACTAACCCGGAGATGGTCCCTCTCTGGGGGTTCGTATCCACCAATGACGCTGTGGAGAAAGATGGATGATCTCCTCCTGTGTGATTTACAGCTTTGAAAACACTCTGGAGAGTCAGCTGTGAGTTGTGTCTGACTCGAAGGCAGTGAGAGAGTTGAGCTCCTTTGTTTGCTGTTTCACAATGTAGGACCTTCAGTGTCTTTCTTTCTTCTTTTTAAATAATATTTTATGGTGCTTTCATTGAAAGTTTGCACAGTGAATTAGATTCTTGCTTGACAATTTTTCTAGAAATTGTTCTGTGACACACCAACTAAAGTTTTACAGTGTGTCTGCATTCCCCTCGACTGCATCTTGTTCCAGGTCTAGAGTTCTCCTTTTCCTGCCCCTTTATCTTGTCCTGTGTTAATGTTGACTTTTGGGGGACCAAGTTTCTTGAGGGTACCCAACCAGGAGCCGAATCGCACTGTGGTGGCACAGTGGTTAAGTGTTACCCAGCTAGGAGGAAGGCTAGCCGTTCCCATTGGCTTTGTGAAAGAAATGATCCACTTCTGACAGCCTTCTGACAGCCGAAGGCTCCGTGGGGCAGCTCTGCTCTACCGGTAACACGGGCTGTGGGGGTGGGATAAGCGAAAACTGACTCCTGGCATCCAGCAACAACAACGTCACGAGGTGGATAAGACTCCACGGCCACGGCAAAAGGAAGAATGGCCGCAGTACTAGAATCCTGGTACCATGAAAGCGAAGCTGCCAGGAGCTGCCCAGTGTAGGGGTCAGTGGGAGGTTGGTTGGTGGCTGAAACCCACCAGCCACTTCTTAGGAGGAAGATGAGGCTGCCACTTCCACACGTTCCACTGAAATCAACCCACCAAATCAAGTAAATTCTGACTCACAGGAAGCTCCATCCTTTTTCCAAGGTCGTATGTCATCAAGGGCAGACTGGCGCCGGTGCAGGCAGGTAAATCAGGCCGGCACAGGTGGACGAGGGTGGCGCAGGTGGACGAGGCACATATACACTTTATAGACTTCTAAATCCATGGTATTTTTCACAGTACTTATTTTCAAAGAGTAAGATGAGACTGGACAACAGTAAGACCTAACTGGGCAACATCCTATGGAATGCTCCACCTCTCGCCAGGAAGTACGGGGACAGACTCCTGGACTAGGCTCTCTCTTCCTCACCTGCTGTGGGTCGTGGTTGGCAGCTGGGTTGGAGGGACCTTGGAAGGTAATCTGGCCTATCTCCATACTTTCCAGCACAACTGCCAGCTAATTGAAACCAGTCCAGGCAATCAAGTACCAGTTTGACTTGGAAATCCCATCTCTCTCCAGGAAGAAATTACTCAGCCTTGTCATCTGATCAACTTTGAATGTCAAGAAATACTTCCTTTGACTTGCACAGATACTCCCTGCTTGGGACTTTTTGAGCAGGTTGACAATGCATTTCAGACGGGTGAAGGTTTGAAGGACGGTCCAAATGGAACCTCTTTTTGAGCCTCATGTCCCCCACATGGGATGTTGCGTTCTTTCCTGGTCCAGGCGTGGACAGGTGGCAGGAGTGCACGTGTACATGTGGCAGGGTCATGAACTTGGGGCCTGTTGGCAAGGGCCCTCCTTGGCCAACTTAAACCACTGCTGAGTTGAAGTGCAAGTGTGAGTGCTCTGAAAGCTACATCTGCCTCCAGTGCTTTGATGGTGCTATTATACCGCAGGGAAACTCAAGACCACATGTCTCAACAAAAATATTTTCTGATAATGTAGAATGAGCGTTCTGGTTCCTTATTGCCTGTAGGATTGAACTGTGTTTGAAATCGGGTTAACTAGAGCTAAATTTAATCCTTGTGTGACCTGAGTGGGTATCCGCAAAGTGGTGTATTGAATATCCTACACACTGTTGCTTTTCTTCTCAATTTCCCTCATTATTTCCTAAGGGAATCACACAGCAATAGCAGGCAGCGAAGTAATGAAATGTGGTAAATCTGGTTACAGAGAAATCTGATGAAGAGTGCTTCCCTTTATTTCATCTCAGCAGCCTGTCTAGGGGGTGGCTTACTTCAGTTCACACAGTACTAAGCCAGGTCTTAGGAGGAAAAAGGGAAGCTGGATTTACTGCTCTGGAAACACAGTGTTCAACTTTATAACATATAAGAGGGTTTTTTGTTTCGTAGAGGCCATTAAAATCTAGGTCGTAGTCATTAACTGCCATTTACACGGTACCATAACCAAGTGCACTCTCTTGCAGGGATCTCCTGAGGGGGGAGCATAGCACCCCGACTGCCAGCAAGTAGGCTGAGGAGGCTGCGGGGTTGGCAGGGGACACCTTAACACATATACTGCAGGAGTCTTGACCACCATCCCTGGGGACAGATCTTTCTGCTAATAGCCTAGCTTCAGACTCGACTTCGGGCTTCAGACTTGTTTTTCCAAAAGCTCTATAGACTGGACAGGCTTCTGTGGGCAAGTCCAAGTCAATCGAGGGTGATTAGTAAGGAAAGGAGAACACACAGGTATCCAGGTGATTCTACTCTGCTGTAGAGAGACCAGATGCAAAGAGCAGAACTGCCGCTCAGGGTTTCCTCCAAAACTTCTCAAGAGCGGACTGCATCATCTCTCTCCCACAGGCCTCTCGGGCCTTTGAACAACCAATCTTTCAATTAGCAGCCCAATTATAAACTCATGGTTCCACTTTGGATCTCTGGCATCACCTCCCAGCCTCACTGCCACTTGGTGAGCCCCTGAGTGGAAGGAAAAAACTAATGAAGGAGCTTGTTTAATTGGGAACAATGAATCTGAAAAAAGGTATCTGAGTGAGAGCTGCTGATACCAATGTAAATGTCACCCATTCTTTGAAGAATGGAGTTGTGTGCAAGTTTCTTAGTTATTTGCAAGAATTCTTTACATATTGTAGCCATAAGTCTTTTGTCACTTATGCTTAGCCAATATTTTTTTCCACTCGGTGGCTTGTATGTTCACTCTTGTTATAGTTTCCTGATATATGAAGATGTTCATCTTTATGTTGAATTCACCAACCATTTCCTTTGTAATTAACATTTTTCGTGCTTTAAGAATCACTCCTTACACCAAGGTCAGAAAATCATTCTCTCTTATTACCTTTGAACAGCTTTTTACTTCTGCATATTTGGGTCCTTTTTTTTTTTTTTAAAGTAGAACTACCTTTTCTTTCCAAAGAAGGTATTCCATCTGGTAATCAGAAACAACAACTATTTCAAATGAGTTGGTTTAATTCCAGGTGGTACAGAGTTCTGGGAATAATGAAGAATGAAGATTCTGACAGGATTCTGGATTGTATGTACTTTGCACAGCTAAGATCAGAATGGCTGAGTGAGAACTGGAGATGGACCATCGTAGGGTTTCTTCTTCTTCACTGTTTCACAAAGTTTCTTCTTAAATGTACAACAGGCTCCAAGACAACACTTCATTCTAACCATGGGTGGCAACAGATGTTACAGCAGAGAATCCAGATGTTTTAAAAAGGAACTGGAAGGTTCATCATTGCCTCAGTCTTATCTTTTGCCAGATTTTTAAATTCCACTCATGGCCAGGGGATCTTTGCCCGTGGCCTTCGCTTTTAGTTCCTCGAGTTTCTTCTGTCCTTTTTTTTGGTTCTGCTTGAAAGCCTTATCTTCCTCGTCCATCTCGTTGGTCTGCTTCTTAGGCTGTTTCAGGGCCTTCTTCTTACCACTTTCATGGCCAGACATGGTGCTGGCCGCCCCTTCCCCAGGCCTGCTGCCGAAAGCTGAGTTCCCAAGCCCCCTATCTTGGGTCCTTTTTCTACCTGGAATAATTGCATGAGTTTAAGTCCCTCCCTTCTCTCCTTGGCCACACATTCTTCCAGGTTCCATTTATTCCAAGTGTGTCCTTTTAACTGATTTGCTATGATGTGTATCAAAACCCCATGTGTGCCTAGGTCTCTTTGTGGGATTTCTATTGTTCTGTTGGGTTCTCCATCCACACACCAAAGCCACATTGTCCTAACTATCATAGCTTTGTGCAGGTCTTGACTCCCAGATAGCAGTTCTCCTCTCTTGTATATTCTTTGTTTTTGCATTCCTACATCAGTCTCAAGATAGTTCCTGAGATTGTACTTCAAGTTTCAAATATTAATTGGTTGGATTCTGCACAGAAATTTAATTAAGTTTTGGCAGCATGACATCTTCCAACCCGTGGACATTCCAAAGCTCCCTATTTTCTCTGCACCTCTTTACTTCCATTCGAGAAAATGCTCTCAATTTATTCCTAAAGTTTTTGCCATTTTGCTGTGCTATTAAATTAAACGCACTGCTGATCTGATACTACTTAAAAGTACACAACAACAACAACATTCTGTTCAGCACTTTTTCAGTGAGATTTTTCTCTTCAACTCTAGACAACAGCAAGACAAAATGCCTTCACAATTTCCTGAGGGTGCAGGGAATGGAGCTAGCTACTGAAGGTGTATCTTTGTTCTAGGAACCTAGCCCCTCAGGGCCCACACAAATCTATGAGCAGGGCATGGAAGGCAAACCTGGGAAGTCTTGGTGTCCCCCTCACTCCTCAGTGGCGTGAAGCCAGCAGCTCAGTGCTGTATCAGGATTGTCAGATATGCAAAGAACAGAAATCTGAATTCTCATTCAGATGGTGTCTCGCTTTCTATTGCTGCTGTTGTTATTGTTAAGTGCGGTCAGAGTCGAAGGCAACTCATGGCAACGCTATGAATGAAAGACCTGGACACATGTATAACTTTCCTCCTTTCTCCAGGTGCGACTGTGGCAATGTTGTGGCGAAACTGTAGCAAAGTATAACCAGAGGAGTCCTGAGAAAAGGGCCACAGTTAAAGATTTTGCTGTGCTTTCTAGATAATTAAGGAGAAGCTGACTTATAACTGCTCTCAGGTAAACCTTGCTGGATGACTAAGAAAATTAGAGGCTTCTTGAATTTGTGTGGCTGACTTGAAACTAGAGCTTGGACTGTTAACAGAGAAATTGTGCTTTGGGACCGCTGGGTTAAAATCTGGATTTGAATTGGGTGCTATTCTTTGCTTCCCCAGCTCTCCAGCTTATTTCCCTAGTAAACGCCTAGTAATCTGTGGTACCGCAACTATGAGTCAACAACAAATAAATGCACCTCTTGCTGCTGCTGTTGTCGCTCTAGAGACATCATGGAGATATGGCCTGCAGGCTCTTTATCTACTTTCTGCTCTGGGACAGTGAAAGGCTGGGCTATTCTCACTCCCTTGGCCCTTACAGAGAGACCCATTTTCTGCTCTTTAGACCCAAGTTCTGAAGTGAAGAAGAGAGCAGTCAGGCTCTTTCTGCTTCACACACACACAGAGCAGAATGGCAATACCGGCATGAGCAGAATTAGGAAAGGATTGGAAAGGCAATTTATATAAAACCCCTATTCTCAAAGAGGAAACTGTATAATGGTCCAAACACTATGTTTCTAAAATTCCATTATATTATTCACTTTTGCTTAGTAAGTACACTGACATATGGGCCCTCTAAGTATAGAGCTATGTTTTTATTTTAAAGCAGCTTAACTTGTGTTCTCCAAAGATGTGAAGTTTTTATTCTAAATTTTTTAGTGATGACACAGTAATTACACGACAGACA